ACAGCACTTTCTGGAATGCCTGCAGAGGATGAGGGCCCTGACCTTTACACACAGCCATGCTTCCCACCTGCCCATTGGACTCATCTGGGCAACTCGTGACATACCGAAGCCTGGACCCACTCCAGACTGATCTCTCTGGGTGATTCTAACTTGAGAATCACTGACCCTGAGACCATTTATACATCTCTTAAGCAGAATGGTAACTTATTTGGTTATGTGGGATTCCCGGTTCATAGCAGATTGAAATAAATGAATACAGGAGGGGGGAGTTGCTGGAAATTGGTCCCAAACACCAAACAATGGAGTTCCCCAAATGCAACAGGAACACTAGGTTAGACCTACAACACGATGTTCATAATGATGGGCTTACATCATCAGGAACATTCTGTGATGCCTAACATGCATTCGAGAAGGCAGGACATGATAAATCACCAGTACTGTCACACTGGGGATTTACAATGTTCTGGGCTCAGCTCTAAACAGAGATGCTGCCTTGTTTCAACCTCACAAGAACCTTAAAGGTTATGTTCTGTTGACATTCAATGTTGCAGATGAGGGAACTGAGGCCTTGGGAGATGTGAGTTGTTCAACGTTCCTTTACTAGTAGTCGGAGGAACAGACTCTAGCCCTCATCTGTCCAAATATGAAGTTGATGATCTTAATCTCTATTTGAAGAAGTCACTTCTGTTCACACAGAAGGCAAACTTGTTTGGAAAATTCATTTACGAAGAACACGTCATTGCCTGTCAGCACCATACTAATGAGCCTTTGCTTTATTTACTTAAAAATTACCCACACAAATACACGAATGGATTGGACAATGGCCAGCAAATATGAAATTTCCAATTCTTATTTAATTTGTATTCAGGGCATTTTGATGAATAGAGAAAAATAAAACTGATTCTATCATGTGTTGCTCTTTTGCACCTTCTAAATTGAGGCAGATCTATAACAGGGTTATATTTGCCAGGTTTCTATAGTCTGAGTACAGTGAATAGCAGAAATATGCTATTTTGCCACATCCTCCCTTACTGGCCTGTCTTGGGCTATCCTGGTGACACGCCTGGCCTGGGACAGGCTGTTCTTCATGAGTTGGGCTGGGTCTGATTTTTGCCTCACTTTCCTGTGTGGTGAGTCCAGATCAGGTTGCTAATATAAGCCGATTCTCATAAATGTCTGCGTGTAAGTGTCTCTCCAGTGGGTTTCAGCCCTGGGCAAGTTCATTCTTGATCCAGTGAGACCGAAAAATGACAAATGGAATGTTCTTGGGGTAAAAGTGCTTATACCCAATTTTGTTCCCATGGCGGCGGGTCAAGGGATAGACTCCCATTCTCCTCTGTGTGCAGCGAGCCCGTCTCTGCCTCTGGGGCTCAGTCTCTGTCCCCCAGCCTCTGCTCTCCTGCAGCCCAGAACACTGGGTGGAGCTCTTCATATACAGTCAGTAATAACGTATTGCCCACATGTGTGCAGTGAGCAATCCGACCAGGGGCAGGTGAGAATCCTGGCCACAGGAGCCTTCATTTTCTCTACAATAAGAAAAAGGGAAGCTTGCAGCATCGGGAGGTTTGTATTCCTCTCATAGCAGGGAGAAGGCCATTCCGGACATCTGCTTTCAGGTAAATGCACAGCTCTGTGGTTTCTGCGCAGGTTCTAGGCTCTCTCTAAGGTGGGTCACTGCAATTTCTTCTAGGAAGTCCAAGGATGTAAAAAAGAAATTGAGTGAAAGAGCGTTTTGTATTCATTCACCCTTTCTCCTTTAGTGGGTGATTACGGAAACCCCCAGCGGGCCAGATGGCTGGGGGGAGCTCTGTGTTGAAGGCACTATGATTACCAAGAAATGCACGTGTCCTCTGCAGAAAGTTCTCAGGAGAGCACCTCTTCACTGGATGATGCTCTCATAGTCCACAGGTGGACACTCAGGCAGCTCCACGCATCGAGGAGAACATTCTAGAATCAGCTACTTTCACTCTGAAGGGCAAAGGATAAGAGCTAATTCTGCATTCATCTTTCACTAATTAGAAAAACTTCTAAGTCTTAAGAGGTTCCTTCCTTGGCATTTGACTGACCAAGGCCCCAGTTTGAGTGGCTAGAAAAGATTTAAATTCATACTGGGCTGATTAAGAAATGCAAATTAAATTTTCAGAATAGAATAGGCAATCCCTAACTGACTTGTTGGTCTTTTGGTTTATTGAACCAAATATACTGATAACAATCCTCAAGGCAATTCAAGTGTGACTCTCAGCTGCCACCACATGTGTGGCTTCTCAGTACTGAGAAGGACCTCAGAAACCTAAACAAGTTCAAGGTGAGGGATCTGAAAAAGCAAGGAGGTACCAGTATTTGTACAATAACGAAAAAAATCAGATGATTTTTGGCTTGTTACTTATTTATTTGATTACTTTATGCTTACAAATAGCATCAATAAACTGATTAATTTAGGTTGCCATGGAACAAAAGTTTCTAGACATTGTAATACTTAATATATATGCAAAATAACTGAGAGCTTTACATCATGACCCTGCAAATGGTTGAAAGGATGAGTTTCTCACTTTCCTGCTGGTTAAGGAGGGTGAGAGAAAGGTGTACATAAAGTTGAAGGCAGTGCCCATCTTGTTCTATAATGTAAAATCTGTTCCATATTTTTCTTTTGCATGAATTCTACTGTGAAGAACAAAGGCATAAATATTTCAAGAAAAATTCTCTGTCACTAGGTTATGAAGAGTATCTGTTATCACCCAAAATAACTGTCAGCAGTAATAGAAGTGTTCTATGTTTGCTCTGTCACTTTGCTAGCTACAAGCCACATGTGACTACTGAGCACTAGAAACATGGTTAGTGCAACTGAGGAACTGAATTTTTATTTTATTTTAATTAATTCACTTTTTTTTAAAGGATCTCTGCCCTTTCACCTTTAATTTGTTCCCCTTTGCTCAGATTTCTTTCATTTTTATTTATTTATTTTTATTAAGGTATCATTGATACACAATTTTATGAAGATTTCACATAAGAAACATTGTGGTCACTACATTTACCCATATTATCAAGTACCCCCCCACGCACAGCCCACCACAGTCACTGTCCATCAGCTAGTAAGATGCCACAGAGTCATTACTTGTCTTCTTGGTGTTACACTATCTTCTCCATGACCCACCCCTTCACCAAGCGTACTGATCATAATGTTTCTCAATCCCCTTCTCCCTCCCTCCCAACCTACCTTTCGCCACCCACTCCCCTTTGGTAACCACTAGTCCCTTCTGGGAGTCTATGAGTCTGCTGCTGTTTTGTTCCTTCAGTTTTGCTTCGTTGTTATACTCCACAAATGAGGGAAATCATTTGGTACTTGTCTTTCTCTTTCTCTTCCTGGCTTATTTCACTGAGCATAATACCCTCTAGCTCCATCCATGTTGTTGCAAATGTAAGATTTTTTTCTTCTTATGGCTGAATAATATTCCATTGTGAATACGTACCACATCATCTTTATCCATTCATCTACTGATGGACACTTAGGTTGCTTCCACATCTTGGCTATTGTAAATAGTGCAGCAATAAACATAGGGGTGCTTATGTCTTTTTGAAACTGAGATCCTGCATTCTTAGGGTAAATTCCTAGGAGTGGAATTCCTGGGTCAAATGGTATTTCTATTTTTAGTTTTTTGAGGAACCTTCATATTGCTTTCCACAATGGTTGAACTAATTTACATTCCAACCAACAGTCTAGGAGGGTTCCCCTTTCTCTGCATCCTTGCCAGCATTTGTTGTTCCTAGTCTTTTTGATGTTGGCCATCCTAACTGGTGTGAAGTGATATCTCATTGTAGTTTTAATTTGGATTTCCCTGATAATTAGAGATGTGGAGGATCTTTTAATGTGCCTGTTGGTCATCTGAATTTGTTCTTTGGAGAAGTGTCTGTTCATATTCTCTTCCTATTTTTTAATCAGGTTATTTCATTTTTGGGTATTGAGGTTTGTGAGTTCTTTACATATTTTGGATGTTAACCACTTATCAAATAAGTTATTTACAAATATATTTTCCCATACTGTAGGATGCCTTTTTGTTCTGCTGATGGTTTCCTTTGCTATACAGAAGTTTTTAGTTTGATGTAGTCCCATTTATTTATTTTTGCTTTTGTTTCCCTTGCCCAAGGAAGTGTGTTCAGAAAAAGTTGCTCATGTTTATATTCAAGAGATTTTTGCCTATATTTTCTTTTAAGAGTTTTATGGTTTCATGACTTACATTCAGATCTTTGATCCATTTAGAGTTTACTTTTGTGTATGGAGTTAGACAATATTCCAGTTTCATTCTCTTGCATGTAGCTGCCCAGTTTTGCCTATGCCAGTTGTTGAAGAGGCTGTCATTTCCCCATTGTATATCCATGGCTCCTTTCTCATGTATTAATTGGGCATATATTTGTGGGTTTATATCTGGGCTCTCTATTCTGTTCCATTGATCTATCGATCTGTTCTTGTGCCAGTACCAAATTGTCTTGATTACTGTGGCTTTTTAGTAGAGCTTGAAGTCAGATAGCATAATTCCCCCAGCTTTATTCTTCCTTCTCAGGATTGCTTTGGCTACTTGGGGTCTTCTGTGGTTCCATATGAATTTTAGAACTATTTGTTCTAGTTTGTTGAGGAATGCTGTTGGTATTTTGATAGTGATTACATTGAATCTGTAGATTGCTTTAGGCAGGATGGCCATTTTGACAATATTAATTCTCCTATCCATGTGTATGGAGTGTATTTATTGGTGTCTTCGTTAATTTCTCTCATGAGTGTCTTGTCGTTTTCAGGGTATGGGTCTTTCACTTTCTTGGTTAGGTTTATTCCTAGGTATTTTATTCTTTTTGATGCAATTGTAAATTGTTTTCCTGATTTCTCTTTCTGCTGGTTCTTCATTACTATAGAGGAATGCAACAGATTTCTGTGTATTAATTTCATATCCTGCAACTTTGCTAAATTCAGTTATTCTAGTAGTTTTGGGGTGGATTCTTTAGTGTTTTTTTTTAAATCTGCATGTTTATTTCCATTAGAAAAATATTATCTATATAAAATTTTGGTCCACTTTCTCCTTTAATTCCCTTTACTACTCAAAGTTAAATACTTTAACTTTACTCAAGTAGAAGCAGAATCATATATCTGACATGAGAACTAAATATTTCACGTCATTCAATTAATAGGATTTAATGAATTAAATGTGTGCTTTATTATTTCTCAGCAATACTGACTCATCTTTCCTACATGTTATTTCCGTTTCCATTTATTTATTTGGGAATCTGTAATGCACATTTCTTTTCCCACATCCAGGAATATGAGTACACATAAGTATTAATTTATAACATCAGTAACTGGATTCATCATCTAATCGTCAATTCATGTTCAGTTCCCCTTAATATATGGTATTTCCAAAATAGCTTCAGGTACTTTAGTCAGTCTTACACTTTTCAACATCAATTGTAAAGATCAGATGTTAACTTAAAAACATTATTAAAATTCCAGAAATAAGTATTATACTTATGTGTTATATAAATAACACTTATAGTGATGCTGTTGTGAGAGGTCCTTGGATGGCCACAGCTTCAATCTCCACACGGCCTCCTTTGGGCAAAGAAGCAACCTGGTAAGCAGCTCTCGCAGGAAAACTACTCTTGAAATAGTGTTTGTAGATTTCATTGACTGTATTGAAGTCATTTATGTCAGCCAGCAAAACAGTTGTTTTTACCACACTAGTGAAGTCACAGCCTGCAGCTTTCAGAATTTCACCCATGTTTGTAAGAGCTTGTTTAGCTTCTTCTGCCACCCCTCCAGGCACAAGCTGTCCATTTGAGGGGTCCATGCCTAGCTGTCCTGAAATGTAAATGGTCCTGTCGACTAATACAGCTTGACTGTAGGGACCAATAGCAGCTGGGGCTTTCGCAGTGCTGATCACCTTTCTGATCAGAGACGACATGGCAAACCCTTTTTTTCTACTGCCGCTCCTAGAAAAGAGCCCCGTACACTGACCGTGTTGGTGCCCACCCGACTAAACCAGCCTCTCTTTAGTGTTTTTTATGTGCAATATGTTGTCTGCAAATAGTGACAGTTTAACTTTTTCTTTACAGATCTGGATGCCTTTTATTTCTTTGTGTTGTCTGATTGCCATGGCTAGGACCTCCAGTACTATGCTGAATGAAAGTGAGGAGAGTGGGCATCCCTGTCTTCTTCCCAATCTTGAAGGAAAAGCTTTCAGCTTCTCGCTGTTCAGTATGATGTTGGCTTTGGGTTTGTCATATATGGCCTTTCTTATGTTGAGGTACTTGCCCTCTATACCTATTTTTTTGATAGTTTTTATCATGAATGGATGTTGAATTTTGTTGAACGCTTTTTCAGCATCTATGGAGATGATCATGATTTTTGCCTTCTTTTTGTTGATGTGGTGGATGATGTTGATGGATTTTCGAATGTTGTACCATCCTTGCATCCCTGGAATAAATCCTACTTGATAATGATGGATGATGTTTTTGATGTATTTTTGAATTCAGTTTGCTAACATTTTGTCGAGTATTTTTGCATCTATGTTCATCAGGGATATTGGTCTATAATTTTCTTTTTTTCGTGGTGTCTTTGCCTGGTTTTGGTATTAGAGTGATGTTGGCCTCATAGAATGAGTTTGGAATATTCCATCCTCTTCTACATGTTTTTTTTTTTTTGGAAAACTTTAAGAAGGATGGGTATTAGGTCTTCATTAAACATTTGATAAAATTCAGTGGTGAAGCCATCTGGTCCAGTAATTTTGTTGCTAGGTAGTTTTTTTATTATCAGTTCAATTTTGTTGCTGGTAATTGGTCTGTTCAGATTTTCTGTTTCTTCATGGGTCATCCTTGAAAGATTTTATTTTCCAGCTGACCATTTCTTCTAGGTTATTCAATTTGTAAGCATATCATTTTTCATAATATTATCTAATAATTTTTTGTATTTCTGTGGTATCCATAGTGATATTTCCTTTCTCATTTCTTATTCTGTTTATGTGAGTAGACTCTCTTTTTTTGTTGATGAGTCTGGCTAGGGTTGTATCTATTTTGATCATTTTCTTGAAGAACCAGCTCTTGGTTTCACTGACTTTTTTCTATTGTTTTATTCTTTATTTCCTTTATTTCTTCTCTGATCTTTATTATGTCCCTCCTTTTACTGACTTTGGGCCTCATTTTTTCTTCTTTTTATAGTTTCATTAATTGTGACTTAGACTGTTCATTTGGGATTGTTCTTTCCTGAGGTAGGCCTGGATTGCAATATGCTACCCTCTTAGCATGGCCTTCACTGCATCCCACAGATTTTTTTTGCAGTGATGAGTTATTGTTTTCATTTGTCTCCATATATTGCTTGATCTCCATTTTTATTTGATCATTGATCCATTGATTATTTAGGAGCATGTTGTGAAGCCTCCATGTGTTTGTGGGCTTTTTTGTTTTCTTTGCATAATTTATTACTAGTTTCATACCTTTGTGGTCTATGAAGCTGGTTGGCACAATTTCAATCTTTCTGAATTTACTGAGGCTCTTTTTGTGGCCTAGTGTATGATCTATTCTTGAAAATGTTCCATGTGCACTTGAGAAGTGCTTTTGGTGTAGAGTTCTGTAGATGTCTGTTAGGTCCATCTGTCATAGTGTGTTGTTCAGTGCCTCTGTGTACTTACTTATTTTCTGTCTGGTTGATCTGTCCTTTGGAGTGAGTGGTATGTTGAAGTCTCCTAAAATGAATGCATTGCATTCTGTTTCCCCCTTTAATTCTGTTAGTATTTGTTTCACATAAGTAGGTGCTCCTATGTTGGGTGCATAGATATTTATAATGGTTATATCCTCTTGGACTGACATCTTTATCATTATATAATATCCTTTTTGTCTCTTGTTACTTTCTTTGTTTTAAAGTCTACTTTATCTCATACAAGTACCTCAGTGCTTGCTTTTTTCTCCCTATTGGTTGCATGAAATGTCTTTTTCTGTCCCTTTGCTTTTAGTCTGTGTATGTCTTTGGGTTTGAAGTGAGTCTCTTGTAGGCAGCATACAGATGGGTCTTGCTTGTTATACATTCTATAACTCTATGCCTTTTGATTGGTACATTCAGCCCATTTACATTTAGGGTGATTAGATAGATATGTATTTATTGCCATTGCAGGCTTTAGATAACTGGTTACCAAAGGTTCAAGGGTAGCTTCTTTACTATCTAACAGTCTAATGTAACTCATTAGAATGCTATTTCAAACACAATCTAAAGGTTCTTTTTTCCCCTACTTCTTTTTCTTCCTCCTCCACTCTATATATTAGGTGTTGTATTCTGTGCTCTTTGTGTATCCCTTGACTGACTTTGTGAGTAGTTGATTTAATTTTGTAATTGCTTAGTAATTAATTGATCTACTTCCTTTACTATAGTTTTTTTCCTCTGGTGACAGCTATTTAACCTTAGGAGTATTTCAATCTGTAGCAGTCCCTCCAAAATAAACTGTAGAGATGGTTTGTGGGAGGCAACTTCCCTCAACTTTTGCTTATCTGGAAATTCTTTAATCCCTGCTTTAAATTTAAATGATAATCTTGCTGAGTAGGCTATTCTTGGTTTGACATCCTTCTGTTTCATTGCATTAAATATATCATACCACTCCCTTCTGGCCTGTAAGTTTTCTGCTGAGAAATCTGACAACAGCTTGTTGGGTTTTCCTTTGTATGTGATCTTATTTCTCTCTCTAGCTGCTTTTAATACTCCATCCTTGTCCTTGATCTTTGCCATTTTAATTACTATTTGTCTTGGTGTTGTCTTCCTTGGTCCCTTGTGTTGGGAGATCTGTGCATTTCCATGGCCTGGGGGACTATTTCCTTCCCCAAATTGGGGATGTTTTCACCAGTTATTTCTTCAAAGACACTTTCTATCCTTTTTCTCTCTCTTCTTCTTCTGATACCCCATAATGCAAATATTGTTCCATTGGGATTGGTCACACAGTTCTCTTAATATTCTTTCATTCTTAGAGGTCCTTTTTTCTCTCTGTGCCTCAGCTTCTTTGTATTCCTCTTCTCTAATTTCTATTTCATTTACCATCTCCTCGACCTCATCAAATCTGCTTTTAAATCCCTCCATTATATGTGTCATTTTAGATACTATATTTTTCAAGGTTTCTGTCTCTTTCTTGAATTCCTCCCTGAGGCCTTGAATATTTTTCTGTAGCTGCATGAGCATTTTTATGATTTTTATTTTGAAATCTTTATAAGGAAGATTGATTATTTCAATTTCACTTAGCCCTCTTTCTGGTGTTTGTGGAATTTTGGTTTGTACCAGGCTCTTTTGCCATTTCATATTTGTATTTGTATTGATTACTCTGGAATAATAATTTTGTGTAAGTGGCGCCCTCTAGTGCCCAGAAGCTCTACTCTCTGAAGCTTCCCAGCACCTGGAGTGATGCTGTGGGACACAGGTGAGCAGCACTGGTGCCTGTCAGGAGGAAAGAGCTCATTCCTGCTTCCCAGCTGCAGTGTCTGCCTCCAATGCCAGGGCCAGTGGACTGAGCACACAGAGAAAAACCTTTGCTTTATGCCCTTGTAGCTGCCATAGGCGAAACCACCCTCTGGCTGGCCTGGTGCAATGGCAGGGGCAGCATGTTTGCAAACTGGTGCCGGCTGGGTGGAGGGATTGGCAGGTTGCATCTCACAGTGGGGCACCTCGGCACACATCACTAGCCAGGGGGATGGAGCGCCTGAAGCTCCTGAGAGTTCCTAATCTGCTGGGCTAAGTGCACATGGATGATTTTGTCCCCCTGTCCTTTCTCCTGAGTAGCAAACTCTGTGTAATCCTTGCCCCTTTAGCAGCCCTCTTGCTGTTGGGAAGTCTTTCAAAGTACCCACCTTTCTTTTGTCCTGGAGAGGCTGGTTGTGGGTACCTGTTTTCCAGAAGCGGCTGGAATCTCAGTCTCTCTCTGAATATTCTGCCTGTCTCTTTTCCAACCCCACTAATCTCCAGAGCACCGTGTAATGTGGGCTTGTGCTCCCGGAGCAGATCTTCAGGGCTGGGTGTTCGGCAGTTCTGGGCTTCTACCCAACTCACTCAGTTTCTCTTCCTCCCACTGGTGAGCTTCGGTGGGAGGAGGGCTTGGGTCCTGCCATTTCAGGGCTTTGCTACTTCACCCTTTTCTATGAGGTACTCTTTACCCCAGATGTAGTCAGACTGTCACCAGCTTCTTTTGAGTTGCTCTTTCAGGATTCATTGTATTTGCTATATTTTCATATCATACATGGTTTTGGGAGGAAGTTTTTGTCTTCTCACGCTGCCATCTTTAAGCCAATCCCAGGATGTGTCCCATCTGTCTTCTGCTTTTCTGTTTTTGAGGTGGTTTCTCCACTGTGCGAGTCAGTCTGTGAGCCAGGTGACTCATGGCTACTGGGGCTGCCTAGCTCCTCTGACCATCTAGCTCCGGCTCTGCACTAATTAGTTCACTTTTAAATATAAGTAGCCACATGTGGCTGTTGGCTGTAATATTGGTTCTGACTTAGTGGTTTACAGATTCTGACATTTTGGACAGAATTATAGGCAAAAATGTCTCAAGGCTATTGATATCTTTCTATGCTAATGACTTTTAATTGAAGAAGTACATGTATGCGCAGTAAAATGAACTCAAAGTAACAAGAAAATATCTGTTTGAAAGGAAATACTTTCATGGAATCATGTATCCCTTGCTAGTGGATATGGAATAATGTCCTACTCTAGTCCCCTTTCTGAGATGCAACACTGGATAATAGCTTCTTATATATCTCTCCTGGAGTTGCCTGTGTATGTGTAAACATCTTGTTTGCACATTTCATTATGTAAGTGGGAACATACATTACCCACTATTTTCCCTACCCTACTTCTTTCACTTCAAAACATCCTGGAAATCTTGGTGTATGTACTCTAAAGGTGCCCTGTCTTTTTAATGGCTGCATAGTATTCTATGGTCTAGACACATGATTATTTATTTAACTGGCCCCCAGTAGTGGACATTTTGATTTTTA